TCGATTTCCAAATCAAAACTAGCGGCCATTCCGAGCACTATCTGAATGGATGTCATTTCACAACTGGCGAAAAGATCAAAATCAATACCCTTTCTTTGATTGAATCCTTTCACATCCTTTCACAATCAGTCTAGCTTTGAATCGTGGTTGGGAGCTGTGTTCTTCCTACTTGATCCTGAACACCCACTTGTTCTTTAAAGCTTTCTTGCCTTTGGGCAACTTCACCAGCTCAAATGTTTCATCCTAATGTAAGGACTTCATTTCATCTTGCATGGTTTCAATCCAGTTCCTCTTGTGTTCATTTCCATAGCTTCTTCAAAGCTTTCAGGTTCTCCCCTGTCAGTCGTTGTACATACTTCATGACTGGATATCTAGTAGATGGTTGTCAGACTCTTAACTAGATCTTCATTAAATATTTGAGAACCTTCCGGTGCTGGTGGGTTTAACATGAACACCATAATCTTCATTTGTTCATTCATTAAGGAACTTCTGGATTTCTCTAACATCTGGCACTTGTTCTTGTGGAAACATTTTCTTCATCTCCAATTTGTTCTTCATTCATATTGGCAGGGACTCTCTGTATGTCTGTTGAGTTCTTTCATCAGAATCTATTTGGCACTCTGCTTCAATATCTTCCAATAGGTCTGATCTTCAACAAATACAGCAGTCACGATTTCTTATAATCGGTCTTCTTGATTGGTCATAAAACCTATAGCCACATTGTCTTGGCCATTGCCAATGAATTCACACTGTCTAGTTCTTGACGCAAGCTAGGACGTTCATCCTTAGGAATATTGCACAAAGGCTTTGCAAGCCAAACACCCGCCAAATTCCCGCAAATGATCATAGGAAACATCCTTTCTTGACCATACTCTTTCTGGAGTATCATGCTGTAGAGGAACACAAGGTGAACGATTTATAAGGTGAACTACAATAAGAAGAGCTTCATCCCAAAATCTTTTAGACAACTTCGCATGTGAGAGTAAACATCTGACTCTCTCCATCAAAGTTCTGTTCATCATCTCAGCCAAACCGTTCAGTTGCGACGTCTTGAGAGGTGTCGTTTGATGTCGAATGTCATGCTCTTTGCAGAAAGCATCAAATGGCCTAGTGTATTCTCCACCATTATTTGTCCTGATACACTTCAGCTTCTTGCCTGTCTGTCTCTCATGTCTCTCAATCAGCGTTAGGAGACTTCATGTGTATACCCAGGTCTTCCTAGAATGTCATCGATAAATATCACAAATATCGATTTCCACCATATGACATCGTCAATTGGTCCACACAAATATTGAAATGGAATCAATTGTTAATACATTTCTTCATTCTAGAAGGAGGGTAATCTTGAAAGCTACTCTGTTTAGCTTTCTCGCCATACAATTAGGACCACTGTCTAGTGAACTCATCCAATCCAGTAGTACGTCTTTCTTGCCAAAGTTTTCTTTACTCATGTGCCCGTAGTCTTTTATGCCCACAATTCAACTGTACTGTCATTCTTCTACACTCAAAGTGTCTTGGGAGATTTCGCCATGCATCACGTACATCTTTCGTTTTAGCCTACCACAAATGAACCTTTTTGTGAGCTTGCACTGAACCATTTCTGGAAAGTGCTACAGAACCTTCATCATCAAATCTAACAACCGAGATTTGACGTAGCTCGAAAGCCCCATTTCTCATCAGTCCTTCGTCTTCTGGTTTATTCAACTAAACACAAAGGCAAGCATTTTAATTACCATAAGGAGATCTTCTCCATTTCTCCATATATGGTAATTCCCGCCATTTAGACTAATTATTTTGCTTGCCCATTTGACTTGTGCAGAGATATCATCACCAACATAAACCGTATAACGTGTGAACAGTAGTACACGTGAATAAATGACCATGAATAGTAACAGTCTACTCGAATAGTAACTATAACTCGAATAGTAACTATATGCATGAATAGTAACTGTACACATAAATAGTACTATACGTGAATAATACATGTATGCGTAAATAGTACTATACGTGAATAGTGCTGGGCTTAACAGTGACGGGCTCAGCAGTAACGCCAATAGTAACTATTCACCATCAACTGCGAGTTACTATTTTACTATTCATCACTAAGTCGATTCTGCAACGTTTTTTCGAGCGGACAACACCAATGGACTCGTTGTAATTTTCTCTTCATCTTGGTATATTTATTTTCAAAATATATCTACGGATCCGGTACCACTATCTGACCTGCTGGACCTGCCGAAATCAGGCTCTGATACCACTTGTTAGGCATCAGCTCTGATATTTTGGACATCAGCTTGATACCACTCATTGGGCCTCACAAAGAATTAAGAGAAAATTAACGTAGCGGAAAAAAGAAATAGGGACACACAGAAATTTACCGGTTCATCCTCAACTGTTTAGGCTACGTCCACGAGGACAAACTCCGAATAATTGCTTCCAAAACTCCGAATAATTCTTCCACTATTAAAACATAGTAGGTATATAAAGAGAGTAATACAAAAATAGTGGCACTCAAGGTGTTTTCCAAAAACACCCTATAATAATTTCCTCATTATTTTTCTCTCCCCTGATTTTAGGAAACCCTTCCTAAAACTAGACACACATCTGCCTCTATTTATAGGCAGGTTATGAGAGAAGTAATGTGAGAGCCGTGTGTGAGTTACATACGGCTCTCCATTTGGTTGGTTGCCAACCTTTGAATAACTTTCGCTACCAACTTTGATTCCTTCTAAAAAAACATGTATTTTATTTTTTCAAATGTATGTGGGTCCCACATGTCGGAGGGACCCACAACATATGCAAGACAAATTGTACATTTGGATTGTAGAATTGAGGCCTTTCATATAAATGAAAACTTCTAATTATAATCGTAGTTGGAATTCTTTATTCTTGTTATATACGGACTCCAAGTTAAAAACATTTTCCTGTTAGAAAACAATAATTATAATTTGATTTAGGTCAAACATCATTTAAGTTCGTCTTCCGTTGAATTTTCACTATAAAAATAATAAAATTCATAAATATTGTATTGTGCACTATAAAAAATCTGGATTTTAAAAATAATAATTTCCTTTGAGCCAAGGACGGAGGCAGCAAAAGAGCTTCTTAGCCAATGAAGACTCGCATTGAAGAGATAATCTAATTATTCATGTCAGCAAGAGGAGAAGATGCATAGTTGGTAGCCATGCAAGTAAGGAAGCATCAATAATAAAATAATTTGTTGTTAACTAAATTTCCTTTTATTTTTTATTTTTACAAATTTTCTTGTTTTTAATAGCTTTTTGATTATTTATTTAAATAATTATTATTTTTTAAAAAATTACGTTTAATCTCTAACTAATGAATAATTTAAATTCTAACCAATTGATAACTAAAATGAATAGAATTTATTTATCTCCTTTTCTATCTCTTTATTTATCATCATACTTTTTCTTTCCCTAAAATAAGAATTGAGTTTTAGACTTTTATTCTATAAATTTTGTAAATTTCTTTCTTCATTTGTTTATATGTGTTTCAGATTTTGAATAGGAATTAAGTTTCAGACTTTTGTTGATAAAAACAACTTCAGTCTCAGTTTTGATAGGTATATATGTCAGGATTGAGAGCTTTTTAATTTGTTCTATCATATGATTTAGGACTTTATTACTGTGTATTATTCAATGGTATGTAATAGTAAGTGATTTTAAATATTTCACACAACTAGATTTGAGTTCTTTATTGATACAAAAGGTAGTGTCACGAATTAGATGAGGAATCAAATGGAAAGTCTGCAAAGAATTCCCCTTCAGACCAATTGATCATGTAATTTAGCTGACATTGTTTGATCTTTTAACGATAAAAATATAGAGAAAAATATTTATGCTTGTAAATGTGAGGGTTGAGAGTACTTTAAGCCATTTAAACCAATTGTTGGCATGTTTATAGTTCTCAACCAGTACATATGTTTCATGGTTATGTATTTTATTTCTGTAAATGGCCATGATTAGGACTTAATAGCGCCTGCTTACATATTTATTAGTACATGTATATATGTATTGTGGATATTAACTAGCGCCAAGTTCTTGTGGATGTTGTGCAGCTAGCAGCTTTAGCCTGCACGATAAGATTAGTTAAGGTAACCTCAAATTATATAAAAAAAATTAATTAAAAAAATAAATATTTTTGTGAAAAAAAAAAATTCTAAGAGTCTAATTTAAATAAAAAGAAATAGAATTTAATATCTTAAAGAATTCAAATACCTAATCACTTATATTTAAAATGTTGATCTTATCATTTAAAATTTAATTTTATTATCTATATATTAAAAAATTATATCTAATATTTTTCTTTTAAAAATTACTATATTATTTGAAAAATTATTGATACATGTATTATCTACAGCTGTCTTAATTTTTGATTTTTTTATTCTATTTTACAGCTGTCTAATTTTTGATTTTTTATTCTATTTATATATTAATAGAAATTACTATATTATTTGAAAAATTATTGATACATGTATTATCTACAGCTGTCTTAATTTTTGATTTTTTTATTCTATTTTATTATATAATAGATATTTTATTTACAATTAAAAATTAAGATTTATTTATAATAGTTTGATGTATCTATTTTTCATTTTTCATTCTTATTTTTTCAAAAAACAATCAGGGTGTATAATTCTTTTAGATTATATATTATTCTATGTTATTTTTTTTAGTTAGAAGAAATAAGTTGAGGTAGGATTAAAAAAATTTAATTGCTCAACTTTTATATTTTGTAGTCGATAAATTGTATTGATGTTTTTATTTTTAATTTTTGTTTTGAAACAAATGTTTATCTAATTTTTTTTAGTTTACAAATTAAGATATACATATATAAATATCCGCGTGCGAAAGCGCGAGATCGCGACTAGTTTAGAAAATAAATTTAACACAATATGAGAAAATTAGTTTGTGATATTATTTATTGCAATATTAAAAAAAAAAATAAAATGATGAAAAACTAATAGGTGGAAGAAGAGATTAATTGGAAGAAAGCAATCTCTTAAGATTGAAAATGAAATTATCACACAAAATCAGAGGATAACAATCCATTCAACTTTCAAAAGAAAGGAAAAAAACAAGATAATTGATTATCCCAAATGATTATCCACTTGCGAAGAACAACATATATTATCCTAATTAAAATGGCCTAGAATTGATAACGGCAGCTTCCATCATCACTTCTAGCAGTTGGGTCAAAATTCTTCGCATTTGGATCAGTGCAACCTTCAGGAACAGGTAAATTAACTTGCTGGGCAGCTTGGCCTGCAAATTATAAAAAACAAAAAAAATAAAAAGTTAATAAAACTCAAGGGTTGATCCAAAAATACTATAATGTTGTAAAAAAGCTAGATGCAAACCTCCCATCAAGGCCTTTAAAGGGGATGAAGGAGCTAACCATAGAAAGTTCCACTTTCCATTTGATCTTTGTTGGCATCACCAAGAGCAGCCTCACTCATGTACTTGTCAGCTAATTGAACTCTCTTCACATTCTCTTGTTCTTGCACAAGCATCTGTCCATACTCAAGAAGCTTTTCAATTGTAATCTTTGGTGCCTCAAATGTAGGTGGCCCTTCTTTTGAGTTCACAAGCTTCTTTCCAATGCCTTCAATTCCAACTCCAGATACCCACTTCCTAACTTCATCGTCATAGACTCTTGCCCTAAGAGCACCAAAGAAATCTGCAAAATATACACAAATATAGCGTCCATTATCAGCTCACAGTATTCTGTATAATGTGAGTGAAGTATTTGACATTGTTACTTACCAATGGATTGGCCAGGGAAGGTGTCAACAAGCTTGACAATGTCGTCCTTAGCGACACCATCAGTCCTGAAAATTCCAGAGCAGACACCAATTCTATCTTCCCTTGTAGGAGCCCAGTAGAATTTCTCCATACGACCATCACGGATAAGAGGAGCATACAATGTGGAGAAATCGTTACCAGTGACAATGATAGGGACGCGAGGGTTGTCCTCCTTGTTGTACATACCAGGAAGTTGCACATTTGTTGGGTTATCAGCAATGTTCATGAGGGTAGCGTTAACCATTTGGTTGTTGACGGTGTATTGGGTAGTTCCTCCCATTCTACCAGCTCCTGCATCAAGATCGTTGATGAAGAGGGCGCACATTTTTCCCTTCTTGATTATATCAGCAGCCTCACGATACCTTTGCCTGATAAGCTTGGCGGGTTCACCAGCGTTTCCACTTTCCAGTTCTCCAGCACTCATCATGATTGGGCTGAAATGTATAGCAGAAACAGTTGAAAACAGCTTTTTTTTTTTTTTCTTGTATTTTATTAATCCCAGGCTTCAGCTATATATTTAGTTTGTAAGAAGATATGTGGACTCACTTAATTCCCATCTTCGCAAAGACAAGCTCACATTGGAAGGATTTTCCTTGACCTTTGCCTCCCCAGATACCCAAAATGAGAGGAACCTGCGACAAAATCAAATATTTTTCTTGTTTCAATTTTTATTATTCTTAATACTACTTCAAGCAGCAAGATGTCTTGGATTTGAGTCTATCTATCAATTAATTTTAGTGGGTTTCTCCTTTCAATGTTGATAATTTTTGAATCGGCAGAGTTACTCTATCGTGTAGCCACCTAAAGATACCTTAATGTTAGGAAGGCTCATGAAGTTCTTGCTGATGTGAACAACAAGTTTGTCCATGAAAGCAGGAGCAATGTAGAAACCATCCATGTTGTTGTCCAAGTTGTACCTAATAGTAATAATTAAAGGCAAAGACACAAACTCAAATATATTAGAGTTGTATTCAAAGTAAAATCCTACCAGCTAGAATTATATCAATAGAGTAAGCAAATACTTACTGACGAAGACCAGTACTGAGGTACTCATAAGAACTCAAGACAGCATAGTGAGTTCCAGTGTCCATGGGAGCTTGGAAGAGAGGGTCAACCATACCCTTTCCTCTTGTAATATCTTGTTGGTCATCAGAAATGTCATAGGCAAGACCCTTCCATCTGTCCTGGTCAGTCTGTTTCCCCTCATCAATTTCTGCAACAATCTTGAAGTTTCCTGATGAAATCTTGGAGTTGGTGAACCTGTTTGAGTTCACCTTCTTCAAGCTGCTACCCAAGAAAGCTGAAGTTGGGACTGAGGGTCCAGCACCAGACCCATTCAAGGCCACCTACATCACATATATATAAATCAATCAAAACTAATTGACAATAAATCAAACTTAATTAAGGTTACACATTCTTATCCAAGTCTAATGTTTCCCTCACAATAATTTACGCACAAAACACATATATGATCCATCTCAACTTTGATTTCCATCTAGCTAAATTTGGCTAAATAGAGTTATTTTCCTTTTTTTACTTAAGAAATTCTTAAAAAGAAATGAGATCATCAATCTTGCATTACAAAACAGAAACTCGATTATCGAATTTTCCTTTTCTTTCTAGTTAATTTAGCTTTAACTGAAGTTGGAATCCGTAACTGCAAATTGCTGTTTGACCATTGAATTATTATGTGCACATGAACAATCAGAAAGATACATATATAATTAAATATGTAGGAAGGAACACTTATGTACGACCCAAAATTGAAAAGAGACAAACAACATCATAAAACAGTTAAAAGAACACTAATTAAGAACATAAGCTGTGTAGCTCAAGAAGAAGAATTCCAAACTACATATAACTAAAATTGGCGGGAAAGATTTATAATACCGGTGCCCGGTTGGCAGCTCCAACGGTGGAGATGGTGGCAGCCATTATGAGCTAGAGAGGAGTAAGGAAAGTTGCAGAGTGCGAGAGACACTTGCAAGGAAATGATGCAGAGTGGTCTTTGATGATAAGAGAGGAGTGAAGTGCAGACTTATAGCAGTTTTTTGGGTGAACAGAAATTTTTTTCTTCTGGAATTGGATTTCAAATTCTTAACGGCCACACAATCAAGATTGCCCTGAATGCCACGTGGCGCAAAGTTAGTTGCTTAGAACTTGAGCCCTCAACAGTCTTGGAAAGGTTAGCATTTGGTTCTGAGGTTAGTATTTAAGGTTGTCTCTTTACCACAAACTTTTTGATATCTTATTACCACACAAGACTATAAACCAATACCCTTTTGTGCATTTTGTGTATTGTGATAAATTTTTTTTTCTTTTTTTGGTTAAAAATTTGTGAAATAGAAAATGGAATTAAAGACAGGGTGAATATGAACAGGTTGTGATTTTCAATTGCTTTCTTCTTTTGTCTGTTTTTAAAGAATTATTGAAGGTGGATTTGCATGGGCAATAGGTTACTTAGGTCCCATATAATATTTCGTATTTTTAAATAAATTTTTCAAAAATTTTATGGTCATCTTATCTTAAAAAATTGACAATAAACTCATAAATTATGTGAATCAAAGGATACATAGTTATTTTCTTATAAAAATAAATATCAAATGGCTAATAAGCAACTCACCCAGCCAATGAAATTTTCTTCATATGACACCCAATAAGGTTTTTCCAAAACTCAAAAAAAGAACAGAATAAAATGCAACCACAGAATGATTAGATAAGGAAAGCTTGAGGCCCACAGTATGACATTTAAAAATCTATCTATTATTAATTAATTAATTAATTAATTAATTAATCTTAACACTTTTGAGCATCTTGAAACAGGGGAACAGTTTTGGCCCAAGATGGAACCTCCAATGGACCAGCCCATGCTTGTTAGGCTCTTGTACCCACAATAATAATAATAATAATAAGAAATGAAAAATAAAATTTTCCATACATAAATACATGTATATGGTACGTATGTAGAATTAGAGATATATATATTGGCCTAGTTCTACATATATATACCATGTTTCTACGTTTAAATAACTCTAATTTATATTTAACTGTTATCTATTTTTAAATATAATTCTTAATCTAATGAATAATTTTATTTAGCTATTTAAAAGATATATTCAGTGCATTTTAACACTATTATTTTAATCCATTAAATGCTTCAATTATAAAATTATATCAAATTAAACAATTCAATTTACAAAAACAATTTGTTGAATACTCAAAATTATAAAATTAAATTAATTAAATATTTATTAGATAATTAAAAAAATGTGAAAATTATTGTTTCAAAAATCCTAAAAATTGTTGTTGCTATTACCGACAAGTATCCAATATTATCAAAATTCATAACTTTAGATGCATAATAAATTTCCTACAAAGTGAAGTGTCACAAAATTTTTGGTGAGATAGATGTTTATATTTATATATATGGCCAATTCCAAGGTGAAGGAAACAAAGTCCTAAAGGCTATTGGTTCATCTGAAGTGGTAACCAGTTTTGATCTCAGTGCTCAATGCAAAAAACAGAGTGACCTAGGCTATACCTCCTTCAATCTTTCTAGCTTTTGATTATTAGTATTCAAAATCACACATATAGTACCTCTCAAAAAAAAAAAAATCACATATATAGTATAAAGGAGGAAAAATGTATCAAATTTGTCAAAAAAAAAAAAAAAAAAAAAAAAAAAAAAAAAAAAAAGAAAAAGAAAGGAAGGTACTCTCTGATACAAATGTGCAGGAAAACGAAACTACATCAATGGTTTATCTATACAATCTAGCTAATGAAATATTCCAAAATATGAATTCAAGTATATTAAAAAAAAAAAAAAAAAAAAAGAAAAAGAAAGGAAGTACTCTCTGCTACAAATGTGCAGGAAAACTGAAACTACATCAATGGTTTATCCTAACAATCTAGCTAATTGAAATATTCCCAAATAGAACTTCAGTATTATTTTTCAAAATTTCCCAATTTACATTAAGCTGATATGTTTCATAGAGCAAAATCATAATACAGAACTCACCATCCCGTAGAGAAAATTGAAGCTGATATGCTTCATCAATGGTTAATGTAAATTCTTTTTCTGTAATGGAAATTATAAAGAAGATGATCATGTTAATAAGATGTTGACCCTCTTGTTCTTGTATGGTCTTGGAATTGATGATAGCTTGAATTATTGAGAAACTAACTGGAAAGTAAATTGCTATTTTGCCTATAACCTACGAGACTTGAACTTTATTCATTTGGAGTTTGCTGCAAAAAACAGGTTCAGTGGACATGCAAATATAGGCATGAGATAAGAGCTAGCATGCAAACCTAGCATCTGTAAATGGATAAAAATTGATCATTTTTCCGTGATAGAGAAAGACACTTTCATCGTTAAACTCGAAAGCGGGAAAAGAAAGCTCCCTCCACCATCCCAGAACACTTTCTCCCTTGTCATTCATACAATTCATTCAAAACAAAAAAAATACACAGTTGTGAAAAGACAAAAAGTAAGAAAAAATGTCATTGAAAAATGGCATTTTGTCTCCCATCTCTCTCTCTTATTTGCCCATTCTCGCTTTCTAGAGCCTCAAATCATATAAGAAGAGATAAAGAAAAAAAGTTGAAGCACTTACAAGTTGATACTGTTGCTGATAAGCATGTGAGTGAGTTTCCCTGGAAGAATTAGATGACTCCTGTTTAAGACTTCAGCCACCGACCCATTATTAATAAGTGGCCAACAGCCAAACCTGATAATATGTAGCAATAAAAAATGCATCATAATGGAGATTTTAACACATAATGCAGGATTAGAAGCCGCATAATTAAGGGAATTACTACAATCAGACAAAAAGCTGTCATGAGTCATGGACTCTATGTCCAATGCCTAAGCTATGAACTCTGCATATAAAAATATAAATTTGTTCTCTTAAGATAAAAAGAGCATGTTTAAAAGCCGCAATGCACCAATACCTACAGCTTGATTTTGACAGAAAGGATTAAAAATTTCTCAGATAACATATCATAATTTCTTTACTAAACTACTGGCAATTCTAATTGTTCGACTGTCCTTTGTTCTACAGAGCGAGCAATTACGAGCGTGAACATTGGCAAATAAATATTCTGGTTACCTTTTTCTTATTAGGGAGAGTTGGGTTGCTTTCAGAAACAGCAGCAGACCATCACAGAATGAAATGGTCTTCATCTGCAGGAACTGCACAGAAAGTACAGGTTATAAAGTCGATACAATTTGACGCGTCCATGTTGTTTCTTACCATCATTGTCATTAGACATGAAAGCTTTATCATAATTGACAAAGAAGGGGGCCAAATAACTGTTGGATTAGCCTAATAATGACATTGTTAACAGAAAATACGATTAAAGGCAATTACATCTCATTTTTAGAGCCCAACTAATAATAATGATGATTAGGTCTATATTAATGAATAAATGCACTTTTAAGGGCACGAATTAGGAAAGCTTACCCAATTTGAGAATGACAATTGTAGGCCATAAAGGAGACCCAAAAGAAATCCACTTTTGAGAAAAGTGAAGAATGTCCCTAAGGCACAACAGAAAGGGTTTTGTGACACTTGTAAGTGATGATTATAAAGAGCAAATCTCAACACTAGTTCCTAAACGAAACACAGCCCAAGTACAAGCAAAATCAGTTTGACACAGATAAGCGAAAAAAGCATAGGACAATGACAGGCCTGGGCTCTTCCTGTGGAGCATGCAAGTTCCTAAGAAGAAAGTGCACGAGTGAGTGTGTTTTTGCACCTTACTTCTGTTATGAACAGGCTGCAACCCATTTTGCAGCAGTGCACAAGGTGTTCGGAGCAAGTAATGTTTCAAAACTATTATTGCACCTACCTCTACAGAATCGAAGTGATGCTGCTATTACCATATCATATGAAGCACTGGCTCGGATGCGGGATCCTATATATGGTTGTGTTGCTCATATTTTTGCACTCCAACAACAGGTTCCTTCTATGTTATTTCTCCAACAGCCTCAACATCTGCACAATTACCTTAAATTTAAGTCAGTTAACTAAAAACGCAAATTCATGCATTCTTTGACTTGCTTGCAGATTGCCAGCTTACAAGAGGAGATAGAAATTCTTGGGCATCAAATGGCTAATCTCACAGTTGGTATTGCCAGTCGTGGAAGTTCACAAACAATTTCAAACCCAAACTGTTCTTCGCTTCAAGACGCCATCAACATGCAATATTTCCAGAATCAACCAGCTGCACAGGTGAACAATGCAGGATATGCAACTGGAAACCAAGCTTTTGACAGCCAAATGAATGTACAACTGCCTGGTTATGAATGGGAAGACCAAAACCTTTTCTGTGATTCCCACCCAAATTCTTTAGAAAGACTCCTTGAAGTAGTGGACCAAGAGTTCTCCCCATATTGCGCGTGGTTGGACAGTGGGAACAATGCAAACTGAAGCTGAAAATTGGGACCAAGAAAAGTATTTTTAGCAACTAGCGCAACTTCATGCTTTTGGCTCTGGAAAAAATTATGTAAATAACCATAATTTTCAAGAAGAGGATGTAGGTTTAGTCCAGTTTGAACTAAGCTTTTGTTGTCTACAAAAATGTCTTTTGTCACATCTGCAGTAAAAAAATAGATACTGAGCCTAGCAAAGGCAAACTCTCAACTGGATGGCCATGATGGTGGGTTGATAGTCATAATTCATAAACAATCTGAATCCCGTTTAGAAATTTGATACTGGAAGGTTACTAAAAATAGAAAAATCACCGCCAACTTTAGCGGCTAGAAAGAGATATTTAGCAGAATCTACCCACAGAATTTAATACAAAGAGGTAGCTTCATAAATTAAAATATACCGATGTAGAATATCCACACCGGGGCAGAAATTTTTCTTAGGATTTATAGCCATGGAAATACATCACATGTATGGATGACAAGACAAATTAGTTTAACAATACAACCAAGGTCAAATTTATGTTTTATTGCGATGAAAAGTAGAGTCCTCCAAGAATTTTTTGACAGAACATCTTTATAGAACTCGGTGTGTTTCTGCTGCAAATCTATTGTCATATCATGGCATCACACGACCAATAAAAATACTTCAAAGAAATTAGGATCCATATCCAATATCCATTTATTTTCCATCAAGAGACGCACAAATTTCTCGATTGAAAGAGTCGCTTTCTACTCGTATCATCTTATGTTGAATTAAAGGTTGAGAGATGGGATTTATGTCAGTTTCAGCATAAAAAACAATCATCTAAAATATATTCCATCACATGGTGCATTTGTTTTATTTTTTTTTTCCCACTTAAATCAAAGTACACACATCAAGAACTCTGCATTTGGATCAAAGGCAAATATCTCTTACTAGGATCACAAGGATTGCAGAATTTAAGTTTAGTTTCTTCAGTAAGTATTGCCTTTATAAATTTTTTTGCAATTTAAAGTAGCTCTTCATTAGTTTAAAGAAATATTCACCATCAATTTATCTTTGATAGTCAACAAAAAAACAGAGACGGCAATTTTTAAGTGACTAAAGAGCTGTACCGTGCTCTTCTCAAAAAAATGCATCATACAAGAAAAAACAACTTGAAGAAAATGGAGAGTCCTTTATAATAATCAACCATCATATGTACAACAGGACATAGGAATCTATTGATAATAATTAAAATTTAGTATTATTCATTTAGCTCATTACAAGTGAAAGAAAAACCATTAACATATTGCAAAAAACAACATGAAAATAGCTCAAAATTTTCAACACCCGTGACAATGGAAACCTTTGTATACTTTTAGTAGCATTTGATGAACTAAACCATGATCCATGCTGCAAATTGGAAAAAGAAAATCAGAGATCAGAAATCAATTAATGCAGAAAACTATAGCAGGAACTAAATTAAAAGAGACTAACCCGTCTCATGAGCACCATTCTCTAGCATTTTGGAACATCTTTAACCATGGGCTAGGACCTTTCTTGTCCAAATTCCAGTGCTTTGGGTACCATGGAAACTGCCACATCAAGAAGCAACGTTCTGGATGAGGCATCATGGCGAGATGTCTCCCATCAGCAGAACAGACTGCTGCTACTCCTAGGGGAGACCCGTTCAAATTGAAAGGGTAAACTTCTGTAGGATTCCCATCGTCATCACAATAACTAACTGGGGCCAAGTTTGAATGAATCATGCGATCAAAAACACCATCATCAGGGAAATATGCTCTTCCCTCACCATGGGCAGCCCACACACCAAGCGTACTACCTTCCATACCTTTGAACATTATAGCAGGTGAGTCATTTATCCTCACACTTGTAAAGCGGCATTCAAATCGACCAGACTCATTGTGAATAAACCTAGGTTGTGACGGGTCCCCACCAGCACCATGTGCACCCCCAACTTGGGGACCTGGGACCCAACCCAATAGAGCCATGAGTTGACACCCATTGCAAACACCAAGACTGAAAGTATCAGGCCGCTTATAGAACTCCTGAAATTGATCCAGAAGGGGCTGATTGAATCTAATGGAAGCAGACCAGCCTTTCGCAGAATCGAGGACATCAGCATAGCTAAAACCTCCCACAAACACAACCCCACGGAATTCTTGAAGAGATATAGCTCCCTTCAGAAGGTCTGACATTGCAATATCCCAGGGTTCAAAACCAGCAGCATAAAATGCTGCAGCCATCTCTCTATCCCCGTTGCTGCCTTCCTCTCGAATCACAGCCACTTTTGGTTTTGAAGTTGCAGTCATATATTTATCATCTGTTACAGAAGTAGTAAATGACAATTTCCAGAAAGGTTCTTTCCTAGATTTCAGACCTTCTCTCTCCAAGTCCACACAAGAAGCTAATCTTTGGAACTTTTCCAGATGAAAACTGGTTTCTTCCCACATATCTCTAAGGAGAGAAGTTTCCTCATTCAGATGAGTTACCCCATCAACTTTCAGTTGTATCAAGGGTGAGGTAGTCACTTGTCCAATTATATTAGCAGAAACCCCCCTGCTATTGAGCTTTTGCATTACAACATCTAAATTCTTTCTGCTAACTTCAAGAACTAGACCAGGCTCTTCTGCGAAAAGTGTTTGGAGGAGACTGTAACCTTGTGAAGTCAAGTCCATAGCAATGCCACAATTTCCAGCAAATGCCATCTCCATGGCACAGACTAGTAGTCCACCATCACTTATGTCATGGCCAGAAGAGATAAGCTCACCTTCAATAATATTCTGGACACCCTCAAATACGCTTTTGAGATAAGGAACATCATCAATATCAGGACAATCATCCCCGATTTGGTCGAAGGCTTGAGCAAGAGCAGATGCACCTAGCCGCCGCTTTCCTTTTGCCAAATCAATGTGAAGCAACACACCATCGTCTCCCAACTTCAAATCTGGGGTTACCGTTTTTGTTATGTCAGGACAAGTGACGTACACACTGATAACAAGATTACCAGGGGCCTTAACAACCTCACCACCTGCATGGGCAGCCATTGACAGACTGTCCTTTCCCCCATCAATAGCAATACCAAGTTCAATCATAGCTTCAGAAAGAGCTGTGGCAGCATCAAACATGTCTGCCCCTTCTCCATCAAGCTTGGCAGCATACATCCAATTTCCGCTTGCTTTGACATCAGACAGGGAAGTAACCTTAGCCCAAACTAGATTTGTGAGTGCTTCTCCAACAGCCAATCTTGCCATTGCCTTTGGATTAATCAGACCTTTGATTGGCTGCTCTCCAATTGCGCATGCACCTCCAGTCAAGCCGGTGTAAGTCTGAGCAACAACAGCAACATCAGCAAGTGTAATCTGCAAAGGACCAACAGTTTGCTGCTGTGCTACAAGACCTGTAACACATCTATCCACTTTTGTTGTCAAGAAGCGCTTCGAACATATAGAAGGAAGTCTTAATACCCTCTTCAACACTTCCATCACTGTGATCCCTGGAGCAATGTCAAGTGCTTCTCGGGCATGAACCACACGACGGAATTCAAAAGTCTTCTGAGGCATATCCCCAAGTACTTTCTCCAGCTCAAGATCCACAGCTGGAGGGGGAGTAGGGAGTCCACTTGAATGGCATTTCTCAATCGCCAAGCTATCTACCAAAACAATTCGCCCCTCACCATTGATTGTCCCAATAACAGCCATTGACAACCTTTCTCTTTCACAAATTGATTGTAAAAGATCATGGCACTCAGGCTTCACCAAGATTGCATCTTGTTCCTGATATTCTGCGCCCCATATCTCCAAAACAGACATCGTATGATCACCAACTACAATTTTCCGGATGTCAATAACAGCACCCTTTGGATATATAATTTCCTTGACAACATTACAATTCCCACCAGCTCCCTGATCATGGATGCTGATAATTGGATTGTTCTCCCCCAACTCAACACAGGCACGAACAACACGATAGAGTTTTTGTGCCATTTCAGCATCTCCACGCTGTACAGCATTAAAATCAAGCTCTGCGTCATTCTGGCCACTCACCATACTCGATGCAGCCCCACCTCCCATTCCAATACGATATGCAGGGCCTCCAATCTTTACAACCAACATACCAATGTCAGGCTCTCCTTTTGTTATGTGGGTGTGATCAATCTGTCCAATACCTGCACTAAACATAATTGGCTTCACCCACTCTCGTCTCTCCCCACTTGGCATTCTCATTCCAAAAGTTCTAGTATAACCCTGAATCAATGGCTCGCCAAATTTGTTTCCATAATCTGATGCCCCATTGCTAGAATCAATAAGAATCTGCAGAGGTGATGCCAAGTTTGATGGATACACAAAAGAATTATCTTCCCATGGAGCATAAGACCCCTCAATCATCAGGTTCCCAACACAGTAACCAGCTACACCTGCAATAATCAATGAACCCATACCTGTTGCATGAGTATCCCTGATTCTACCCCCAGCACCTGTCTCTGCCCCAGGATAAGGTGCCACAGCACAAGGAAAATTATGGGTCTCAGCTGTGAATAAAATATCGAGGTCGCGAGTGATTGCCATCAGTGGACATGGCAAACCAGGCTGTACCGGCCGCAATACAATTACATGAAAGCCCTTAATTGCACTAGAATTATCCTTGAAACCAATAACAGAATTATTTGGATTCGCCTGCAAAGTGCTCTTCACAATCTGCATAAGAGTTCTATCCATGGGCTTTCCATCAATAACAATCTTACCAGTAAAAAACCAGTGCCTACTATGCTCACTATTGGATTGTGCAATGTCAAACAATTCTACAGTTGTAGGATCCCGCTTGATATCCTCCATGAACAACCTAGCATAATACTGTAAATCTTGTTCATCAAAAGCCAAACCCATCTCCTGATTAATCTCTTCCAAAGCCTTCCTCCCCCTCTCCATAACAGGCACAAACCGAACTTCCTCAGGAACAACATTAGTCCCAAAAGATGTCAGCTTCTTGGTATAAATACATTCAGTCATCCTATCATGGACCAATTCAGCAAACGCATTAATTTGATCTTCTTGCAATACTCCCTTGCTATACAGCAAGTACCTCCTCGACCGTTCCATTCGAGTCACTTCCGTTAACCCACAAGCACCACAAATAGACACAGCATTTGAAGACCAAGCAGTTGTAAAAGACAACCTAGGCCCGACCTCAACTATCACAGTATTCAATCCTGCTTTTTTCTTCTTTTCAAGAAAGCTCTCAGTACCAAAATTTTCCGGCTCATATGTTTCCTGAAGAATCCACTTAAGGACCCCAAGCTTCTTCTCACTCGAAATTTCAGATTGAAGCCCAATATTAAAACATTGCTCAGTCTGCAACCCAACAATCTCATGGGAGATTTTTCTTTGAGCCAACTTAAGCAATTCAAGAGTTGCACTGTCTTGAATCAATGGCACCCGATAGAAATGGAGAATTTCTTGGGCAGTCTTTTCAATCAAACTAGATTGCTCATCAACACTGCTAGTCAAACCAGAAACCACTGCTCTGGGCTTTGATTGAGCGCGACACCTCAATGAAACACCTCTATTATTAAATGCACCCAAAGGGGTCTTATGACTATGAAGTGTACCCCATAGCAACTGATTTCGCCGATTAATAGGCAAATCTTTCTGCATAAACAGAGTTTGCCTAGAGACATCCTGCAATGAAAATCCAAATAAGAACCCACATATGAAAATCGATTTATAACTTAAGCTTATAATTCAAACCAACAATGAAGCATAAAAAATGCAGGTTCTAATCAAATGATAGCGAAACAGAATAACAGAAGAACATAATTTTCACTAACCAAAAAGAAAGCAGCGTTAAAATAAAGCACTTACTTGCAACAATTGAGTTGCAGCAGTGATCTCTTGGGCACCAACCATTATACAAAACCTATGTAAACCAATTAGAAATCAGAAACAAAAATTCAACAACGATAATAATGATTACAAACAGAAAAAAGAAGAGGCGACTGGAGGAGTAAAATTTCAAAAACACAGGAAAACAGAAAGTACCTCGTTGTCTGCGACTAGAATCGCAATTGTGTATTAGAAAGAGGGGGGAGAGACAGAGATAGTACTAGGGTTTTGCAGTGTATTGGTAAAACCCTACTTTTGGCCTGAGTAAAGTTTTCTTCTTGAGAATCTGACTGATTTTTTTGTATTATTATTATAGTTATTGGTGGAGAGAATCTGCGTCTCAATTTTCGTGGATTGTTCGTATTTTTTTTTTTCCTTTAAAAAAAAGGCTTTTTTTTTTTTTATCTTTTTCAAACTCACGGTTTGTTTTCGTAAAATAATTTATAAAAAAATAATTTTTCAGATTAAAAAAAAATTAAGTTATTTTTTAAAAAAATTAACTTTTCATTTTTTAGAAAGTAAAATATTTTTCGGATATTGACAAATCTTATAAATTCATATTTTTCTAATTTATTAATCATCATAGTCACTAACATATATCATCATTTACCACCGACCATCACCACCGGCTACCGACGGCTTATATAATTTACATATTTTTTGCACCATTTACTACCGGTTCATAATTTACATATTTTTTCATTCTTCGTATATTTAACAATAAAATTTTTAAATTATAAAATTTCTATTATTATTAATATTTTCTATGGTCTTATGAAATAAAAATTTTAATATTTTTAACTAATTCGACGGCTTATATAATTTTTACAATTTTTTTGCACCATTTACTACCGGTTCATCAATTACATATTTTTTTTTCATTCTCGTATATTTAACCAATAAATTTTAAATTTATAAAATTTCTATATTATTTTATAAAATTTCTATTATTATTAATATTTTCTATGGTCTTATGAAATAAAAATTTTAATATTTTTAACTAATTTTCAATATTACATCTAAACAATGAAAAATAAGTATTTGAAAAATATTTTTCATAAAAATATTTTTTAGCAAGTTATTTTCGTGCAAATTACTTTTCGGAAACAAACGGAACATCGTATTAAATTTTTACTAGCATTTTCAGAAGCTTTTTGTCATGCTATATTAATTTTTTTTCCAACTATAATATGAAAAAAGTTGGTAACTTTCAATTGTTTTTAGTAACTGACATTCATCATACTTAACTTCCAATTTCGGATGAAAAATGTGTTAATTAGTTACCCAATAAGAAAAATATCCTCAGGCTTCATTTGGTTAAAATTCAACTACTTTTCGAACAGTTCATTTCTCACGAAATAAAGTTCTAAGAAAGTTCCTTTTTAAAAAGTACAGTGTGAATATATTTAGTTGATATATTAAATTCCCACAAAATAAAATTATGTTAATGAAATTTTATATATAAAATAACAATATACTCATACCATGAATTTAAATATAACAATTGAAATAATTTATTAAAATGGCAAGATGGAGATGGTTAAATTCTAGAGGTCAGGAAGTGCACTTCCTTAGATTAAAGAGAGAAAGTAACTTCTGGTACGGACCGGGAAATTCTTTATTTTTGAACACCAAACATAATCAAATTCATCGCTTCCCAGAAAATCTAAGTTTCCAAGTTCACTTATCCCCAACCAAATGCGTTCAGCAAATAAAAATCTACACACTTCAATTTTTTTTTTTTTTTTAAAAAAAAAACAGGGTTAAAAAATTTCTTTAAATCTTGGGGTTTCAACTTTCAAGGAATAATTATTTCCCATTACTTGTTGTTTCAATGATAATTTTAAGCATAAGTTAACAAAGATAGATATCCAATAATTAGAGCTCTAAATTAGCAAAATTATATCGCTTGTGACTTTTTAGAGACTTGATTTGAAAAATTCATTCTATGAATTTAATGGATTAAAATTAAGCTCATTTGATAAATAAATTTGAGTTTGAATCTGTAAAATAGTAAAACAAATAAATATAAATTATAAATGAATTCAACTCAAATTTAATTTTTTAAATTCGAATAAAGCTCAAACTGAGTTTAAATTCAAGTATATTATTATGAAGTCAAATTCAAAATTAGCTCAATTGGACTTATTTACGGCCCTGTTTATGTACAAAAAGTTTTCTTCATGAAGATTTTATCTATATATGTATATATTTAGATGAAAATCATTGTTTCATATCAAGAAAATGATACATAAAATTAAAATAAACATTAAGCCTTAAGGACCTCATTATGGAGCCCATAAGCATTGAATTAATTGATATATAAATTTCAAAAAGTACTCCCACTTTTGAAAATGAAAAGCAAAGGTGTTTTTTTTTTTTTTTTTTTTTTTTTTTTTTTTTTTTTTTTTTTTTTTTTTTTTTTGTCACCATGTCCACTAGGCCCTTCTTCTCTTCCCATAAAGAAAAAAAAAGTTTAATTAATGAGAGATGTGAAGGAGTTTATTCGGTAAATTTAGCTCTTTTAATAGCTTTTATCAATTGTTAGCTGTTAATGGTTAATAATTATATAGCGGTTTAGAATAAAAGGTTTTGGTATAAATAATTATTTGATTAAAAAGCGAGGAATAATGTAAAGACAAGTGATGGGTATAAGTGTCATGAAAAAATTATAAAAAAACTTAATAAAGATAACACAACGTTTCATAAAATATTGTCTCAAACTCTAAACACTAAGGTAAAAATTGTATTACCAAAAGTGTTTCAATCCTATCAAAATACTAAATACTACTTTAAACACTGCTGTCGATCAAGGCCAAGGAATAAAAATGAGTTTAACACTATTATTTTAACTTAGAATTTTAAGACAATGAATTTATAATTTTTTTTAGATTTTGAATTTTAATATTTGATATAAAAAGAAAATGAAAACTTCACTTATATGGATTTGAATATAACTAAATCAATTTCTATTAAAAAAAAAAAGTAAAATTTTTAAATGAATTTCACAAATTCAAATAACTAAAAATTTTATGGCAAAACTAACAATCATTCTTGCTTTCTAAAATTATTATATCAATGATATTTTAAAAAATAAAAATAAATAGATTTTCAATTTTAAATTTATTTCAAAAGTGAAAAGTACATTTATAAATAAATACATACATGTTTTGAAGTCATTCATAGAAGAGGAACGTAAGAGAGAAAAATACGTGAGACTTTCGCAAATGCTAACTTTTGTCGTAAGTGGCAAACAATTCATGACCCAAGTCAAATTGCTGTCGACAAGCTTCAACAGAAAGATCAAGTGGGAAATGTGCAGGCCTTGTTTGTTTAGAATAAAGAATGGGATGTCACATTTGGTGAATAATAAAAAATATATTTGTCATTTCTCCATTTGAAAATACTTTAATGAAACTATGTTAATCATAAATATAAACAAAAATATTAATGAAAAACTCAATAATAACAAATTAAAAATTAAAAATTTTTATTATGAAAATTAGTAAGTTGAAAAATAAAATGAAAGACGAGAATGAATTTGTGATTCTGAATACAAAAGCAAATATAGATAATGTTTAGATGGAGAACATTAAAATTTAAGTTTTTAATTTTGTCAATATTTTTTTAAACTAAAAATTTAGATTTTCAAATTTGTCAACTAATAAAATTTACCTTTTTAAAAAAAAAAAACTGTAAATTTACCTTGTTTTGTTCGTAAACATTTAATTTTTATATTCATATAACCATGGTTTAATTCAATTTCAAATAGTTTTTTTGAATAAAAACTGCACCAAACTTTTCCAAAAACAATTGTCCAAGTTTAAATTGACCAAGCTATTTAAAAAATTACATCACATAAAACTATCAATTTGTGGTTTAATTCAATTTTACAGCTTCAATCATCCTCATCTCCTGTAAGAATTTCCAAATTGAAAGGAAAAAAAAAAAAAAAAAAAAAAAAAAAAAAAAAAAAAGGAAGAAGAAAAAGATTTAGGTTTTCGAAGGAATACAAGACTAACAAAGTTTCCTCTCCCGAAAGCTGTGAATTGAGAGAAAAATTCTAACTGCGCGTAAATCAGTGAAATTCTTACAGTGCACAAAAGACTGTGAACTCAAAACTTTTCACGTCTCACATGAATCAAAAAACCCAACCAAACTATACTTGGTTAACATACAAATCAATTTGAAATTTTAAAGTAAGAAACCCTTTAACCATAATCAAAATAAACATTAAAAAAAATGCAAGCATTAAAGTCCATAGCGAAACCACTTTCATTCTTCTTCTTCTTCTTCTTCCCTTTTTTCTTTTTTTTTTTTTTTTTTTTTTTGTTTTTTTTTTTTTTTTTTTTTTTGGTACTTTGAAGTAGCAAGATTTTTTTTTTTTTTTTTTTTTTTTTTTTTTTTTTTTTTTTTTTTTTTTGGTACTTTGAAGTAGCAAGCATTCTAAGAATGAACTGCAAATCGGACACCGAATTACTCCGAACACAAATATTCATAACATTGTAAGTTGGAAAAACAATACTTTGTATCTATAAGCATGTCAATTACAGAATAATTCACGATATTATCATTTAATACGCAGCATTTCGATCAAGCAAGCAAAGAAAGAATACTTAAGATGTCACTTTACCTCGATATCTAACATTGAAAATTTTCTAACCATCTTTTCCCAATTCAGACACAAGCATCAATCCAATTTGCCTTTTAGTTCTAAATCATTTTCCTACAATTTGCAGAAAGTTAATGTCACTCATAGACAGACAGATGGAAGACACTTGTTGATCTTCCTTTCAATATCTATCTACTACCTTGAAAAACTTCCAAGTCTTTGTGATTACATCAACTACCTTTGACCAAAAAAAGTAAAAATGTGGCTCAAAAGTCCTAACTGGTGACTAACCCAGAACTACTTTAACCAACACAAATACTAAATAAATGGAATAAACTCACCATGCATGTATATCTCATGATTACTATTATAGTCAGCTTAAAGCCACTGTAAGAGGTAAATTTCAAGATTACTCGCTCTCCCTTTCTTATTCAATCACATTTGAGAAATTAATAATCATACATAAGACTAAACAATCACATAAAATTACAATAATTGATTGAGAATCCAAGTTGTAACTGTTATTACACCATATCCTCTAATCTATGTCAAGCAGAAACTACAGTAAAGACATGGTCTCTTTTCAATATTTCACTTTCACATAATAGTTAGACACTTAAACAGTCAGCATTTTGATATTATTACATTATCTTATGTTAACTAGACAAAAATTAATGACAAGAAATTAATCACAACAAACCCAATTACTTAAAGAAACATATTGAAAGATTCATTCATATTAATTTATTTTGCATCATCCATTGTTAAATCATTGAGTAAACATCTTCATATTAACAAATAAGAGCTCGTACCCTAGATCCTAAAGGGGACATTTTTTTTTATTTCACTGGATGAGCTATACAAACCGTCCATACGAGGATTCAAATTCGAAACCTCTTAATAGTCCAACCAAGATCCAAACTATAATGGAATCTCCATGAGGGACGATAAAATAACTACCACATTTGCAGAACTGCAAAAGTTTTCCTGGCATGATAAACTGATAGCATATGGCTACGTTGAGATATTTACATATCCCACCACACCTTAGGACATATAGACAGGGGCGGTAGAAAATGGAAAGCTAAACACTAATACAAGCATAATAGAGTTAAAAGCTGAATTGTACTTATATGGCTTTCAAATGGTAATACAAAAAGAGGTCATGTGTCAAACTGGCGATATTTGGACGGAAAGGGTCCCTTCTGTCAAATAAAGTACCCACATCAGAAGGTGTAACTATTAAAATCAACTTGCAGTGGTACAGCTCATTTTGGGAACTACATCTATTTGAACTGAAGTAGAAATATTTGAATTCAATGCCATTTAACAGTTAGCCAAACCATCCATTTTAAGGCAAGGGGCAAGAATCAACCCCACTACTATCCGTGTCTGAAGTATTATTAATTACGATCAAATTGACACCTAACTTGAAATTCTTTTGACTTTTCTCAATTTCACAGTATAATCATTCAATTCCATGCAGAAAAGTAAAGTAAAATGCTTACCATAAGAAAGAAAAAGAACGAGTTTTTGATTTCTCTGATTCCTGCCATAAAAATTTCCATTTTACACCAACTTGAGTTCTTGAATATGCTTCTTTTCCTACAAAAACAAATGAATACGAATGTTCTTCCAAAAATAATTAAAAGGAACTTTGATTAGAGAGAAAATTAACAGATTCTTCCACAAGTTTTAACACACAGCGAAACCTGTTTGATCAAAGGTAGCTATTTTTTTCTTTTTTTTCACAAGAACTAATCCAAAAAGTCCTACCTTTCCTTGCTATGCTTACATGAAACTGTCCAGAAAGAACACTTTTTGCACATATCACTATATCAAGTCAGCTAATCCAAACTAACAACTCTACCTCCGCTCTCTCTCAAAAAGAGGGAGGTGGTCTAGGAGGAGGAGCCCAAAACACCTCATGTGGCATTTGCCCATTGGGTAGCAAGTTAGGAGGCAAATTGAATACAGGCATTGAACCAGCCTCGGCTATAGGCTGAGAGGATTGAGACCCTGAATTATTAGCACCACCACTACCGCCGCTACCACTGCTGCCACCAGCAGCAGCAGCATTAGTCCCTGAAGTCACTTGCTGCTGTTGCTGCAATTGCTGCCCGTCCTGTTCTTCTTCTAATGGCAACCTTTCAAAAGTAGCGTTACTAAATGTTGCAGCTATCACCATTACTGGCCCTGCAGCCACCAATTGACCCACCACTGTCCCTCCTACCACCTGACCTTGCCCACCAGCCAAATATACAGTCAGCCCTGTTGCACCTGGAGGCGAAGGAGCAGGCAGAAATGAACCTGATAAGGATAAAATTTCAAACCTTCCATGAAGAGTAATAACCCCACCAGGCGCTGCAGGTTGCCTAAGAGTAACATTAGTTACTATCCCACTTCCACTAAGAATTGAAACTCCACGGTGGCGGCGTTGAGCAAAATTAGAAATGCTCTCTGCAATATCACTGCCTGAGCTGATTTCAAGGACATGGCTGCGGAGAGAATTAGGGCTTTCTTTAGTAATGACAACGGGTGGTTTTGGTTTATTCTTTGAACCAGGTGGGCGGCCTCTAGGTCTGCGAGACGAGCTGCCGCCGCCACCTGGTTCAATGGTTTCAAGAGCTGTATTAAGATCTTCAGATTCTTGGTTGTTGTCTCTGCTGTCTTCCTGTTCTTCTTGGTTTTGGGTAGGGGTGGTGGTAATGGAGACAGTTTTAGGGCTATTAATACTATTGGTGGTGTTTGTTTTGGTATTGTCAATATAATCTTGTTCTCTTCTTGAACCCAACCGACTGAAACCAGCAGCATCTTCCTCTGGGTTTCTTAGATGAAGAGATGGAGATGGAGAGATTGGATCAATACCTCTCGTGGCAACATTTCCTGCCCACCAGCGATTTGCCATGTTTGATTCTTGAAACTAGAACCAAAAAAGAAAAGCAAAGAAAATTAAAGAACCCAAAAAAGGAAAGAAAGAAAGAAAAGATGCTTCTTGTATTGTCACTATTTATCTTTTTCTGTCTCACTCCATCACCAATGCATTGTTTGAATCAGAAAACGACAAGCACACATCAATGGAAACTAGACTAGATAGTGTAAATATAGCTCATCACCTTTTATTTTTATCTTACTTGAGATCTCCAAAAACAAAGAACATAGATATATATATAACATACAATTCCAAAACCTTATCTTTTATTCCTCACCCAAAGAATCAACGAAACCCAGATAATAACAACATATGGGTTTCTTTTGTTTTGCATGAATATCAAAAACCCTAACCATTAACTTCCAAGTTCAAAAAAAAAAAAAAAAAAAAAAAAAAAAAAAAAAAAAAAGAAAAATAAAAAAAATAGAATCAGATCTCAACAACCAAAAAAGCCAAAACACCATTTTTATAGCTCACACCATAAGAATCTAATCCTCATCAGCTTTAAAAATACGAACCACAATACTCTCACTAAACATAAAAATATAGAAATTGGTCACCATCCTCCAGCATAAGCTCTTTCAAACAAAAACATCACGCTATGGCAATAGGAAACTAACTCACTGCTATCAATCTGATATACGTGGCACAGTAATAGTGTAAAAGCTTCTGGTATTCTATAGATATACTATTTTTTCACTTTAAAAAAAAAAAAAAAAAAAAAAAAAAAAAAAAAAGAATCAGATCCAACAACCAAAAAAGCCAAAACCCATTTCTCAAAACCCAACAACTCATAAGAGATCTAATCCTCAATCAGCTTTAAATCGAACCACAATACTTCACAAAAAAAAAAAAAGGTCACCTCCTCCACATAAAGCTCTTTCAAAACAAAAACACACCTATGGCAATGGAAACTAACTCACCTGCTACATGAATACGTGAGCAGTAATAGTGTAAAGCTTCTGGTTAATCTAAAGAAACTATTTTTCCACTTTCTCCGTATGTTTTCCTGAACAGAGTCAGGTTAGTGAGGCAAGTCGGCAAAGAGCAGTGGAGCCTCTGTGTTTTTCTAGCTAGAAAGTAGGTGTCCTCGAGAAGAAAGCAAAACCCATTTTGCCCCACGAAATATATAACTTTGGTCAATTGAAGACTTGCAGTATTAATTTATCCAACTTTATTACTTATTTTGGTTCTATTAAGATAAAATTTAACCGCAACTGACGAAACCATTGCAGTGAAAAATTAGTAAAGGTAATATGGCTTCATCTGCCAACAATACAACCAATTATATGATGACAAATGGCATGTGTATAAAATAAAATTAATAAAAAAAGTAAAAACAATTTATTATCTTCTACGAACCGGATGGTCTCAGGTACTTTCAATTGGATCCATTTGATAAGAAAGTTAAAATTAAGGGAGTCAATTGATTTTATTTAAAATAAGAGTGACCAAGTCTATATAATTCATGGGGCAAAATGGGATTTTGACATTCAAAAAGAGCTGCTGTGCAAGTTGTGGGCGTACGTTAAAAAAGAAGCTGGGCGTACGATAAGGATTCGTGCGGTTTTGCAGAGAGTGGTTTTGGGTTGTCTACTGAGTTGTTAAATGGTTCTGTGGTCTTCTAGTAGAATGAGCTTTTCTACTCTGTACCCAACAAACACATACCATAAAAGATCTCACCAATTACCTATGCCCACACCACTCATCAAACACATACCATAATAGATGCATCTCACCCACTTTCTTCAACAAATTGCTAATTGTGATTTTCATACCATATATTAGCATTATACGTGTTTAAACCGAGTTTATAAGTTCATTTATAAATTATATTAATTAAAATAATTTTTTTAATTTAACCTTATTTTTTCAAAAAATGATAAAAATTATATTTATTTTGGAAAATTTTATTTTTTTTATTAATTTTGTCTGTTGATAAACCAATATAATATCTAAGTAAATCAATCTTCATTAATATATGCATTTCAACATTAAATCTTAATAGTTTTCAAAAATAATTTATTATTAAAATATTTTCAAATAAATATAATTAAAAATATTAATATTTTTAATTTAATGAATTAAATATGAGATAAAATGTAATGATGATAGAGCCAAAATATAAATTGTTTAAAGTTTTTTAATTCATTATACGCTTTTAAGGGCCGAAATAACACTAAAGACTATTCAACTGTGGTCGAGAGGACTCGAACTCAAGACTTCGTACTCCTCACATAAGTGAAAATATCAACCAGACCATCATCTGATTGGCAAATTATTTAAAGTTTTTGCACAACGATTAAATAAGTAATTAATTCTCTTTATAACAAAATAAATCATAAATTGACTAAATTATCTTTTATCTTAAAATTAATAATTACTCGTAAAAATATTTATCGCATTTAATATAAATAAGGACAATATTGAAAAAATAGCATTTAGTACGCTTTAAAGTATCCAAACCGAAGGGAGTAGTAACTATTACTAATAATTTTTTTGTAATAAAATATTATTAATAATTAATAATATATAATAAATATGTATTTATATAATTATGATATATAATTAAGTTGGTCAATATTTAAAAAATATTTTATCTTTTAAAAAGAAAAAGTAGTTTTCTTTTAAAAAACATAATCTTTCCTTTGATTATAAAAAATATTTTCTTAAACACTATAAACATAAACGATCTGAAAAATTTTTTAAAAATAAATGGAGATTAAAAATTTTATTTTGATAAACCATGAATTTTAGCAAGTTGAATTATTTTTGTTGGGTAGTGTTGGAGGTCTTCGATGGTAATGATAAGGAAGAGCATAGAAAAAAAAGCCAAATTGGTTTTGGTTCCATTTATAGTGCTCATAGAATTTCTTTCAAAGATGACTTTCCATTCTGTGTGGGGTTAAAAGTGCAGAGAGATAGAGAGTGGGAATACGTCAGTGTTTACATGGCCCGACAGCCGATCGAAAGCCAACGTCTTTGCCTCTAATACACAGTTACACTATTACAAAGGCCACCGAAAACCGAGCACCTACCTAACATCTCCTTCTTTTCAAAAGATTATTAGTCTACCAGAACGTAAAAAGCTCCCACGCTTATAAACTTCACACCCATTTTCTTATCTGTCTGATGTGAAATTCGTCCGCCATCTTCTCCTTCGCTCGACGTGACATCAAAATCAGACTCTGTATTGACTCTTATATTCCGTTATCATGGATTATCTTCCTTGTTGCCTCTTGGACTGGCAATGGGGCAAGTTGCCGGTGGTTTATGTCCATCCCGTTCTTCACACTCAGAAATCTCTAGTCCCGTTTAGAGATGGCGAATTTTGAACTAATCGGGATGAATTTCTTCAGATTATTATTTTAATATGTAATAAATTCATTTAAATATCTACCTTCAAATTCGTTTAAAATTTTATTATTTACTTTTATTTTATTCCTTTACATTTTTTATTAATAAAAAGTATTGTATATGCGAAATTACATGAATAAAATTGCAACTAAATACGTTTAATAAAGCGTACCTAGTAGAATATTCATGATATCGCCAATCAAATTCATACAATATAATAGGTGATTATATATAATTTATACTTCAACCGGTTCAGTTTGAGTTTGTTTTCTAATCGAATTAAAATTTTTAAACTTAATTTTACGTTCATTTATTCAACAGGATACAAAATTTATAAACTTGTTCGTTTACAAATTCATTTACACTAATTTTATTGACAAATTTTCTATGAATTATTATATAATATTTAAAATTATACAATTAACTAGTATTAAATCATTTAAATTTGAGCTTAAAGAAAATTCGACTTGTTATGATTTATTTAAAAAATAAATAAATAAAACTAAATTTTCTAAAATTTAGTTTGTTTTGATTCGTTTACAATCATGTAGCACCCAACTCATTTGATCCTATGCATCAGAGCATTTCACCATCTCTAGATTATGCCCTGAATTTGGTATCTACCGAATCCGATTTGAACAAAGCAGGAAAAAAATTCGTAGAGAGGGTAAAAATAAATACCAACTTAACCTAATCAACATTTTTTTTACTAATTTTTATTAATTTAACTCGATGCAATCAATAATTCTAACCTGCTCCAACACCGAATTAATGGTAAAATGGATATTAAAAATATATAAAAAATTTTAAAAAATTGGGCCGTAGCCGCCGTATGAGGAAGCCAATCTGTGCTTGCCGCCCTTTCTTAGCTGAGCATTTGCGGTGGATGCACATTTACACATCATCGTATCGGTCTCTGTCAAAACTTTTACGACAATTTTTTTGGGGTTGTCAAAGCGGTAAAACGCCACCTCCTCCTTAATCTGATGACTCTTTGCCGTCCTCAATCAAATACTACTTTACTTTACACTTGGGATTTTAACAATTTAAATTTTTGTTTTCAAATTTATAATACTCCAACTCAATTCACACCCATTATTCCAATTATTTTTGGACTCTAAATTAGACTGATTTAAATTTATTAATAAAAATTCGAAAATAAATTTCAATTTATAAACTTGTGATCTTAGAAAATAAATGTCATATTTGACCTTTTGAGCCAAATAACACCCGAACTTATATCAAATGATTCAATTTCAACCTGGTTTAGAGGAGATCAAAGCGTGTCAACTTAAATAAAAGTTAAGAGCGATTGGATTGTGAAAATAAGAATTATTGGGTTTGGTTAATACCGGGGATGGAAAACAAAAATGCTAACCTATGACCTCAGCCCAAACTCCAAATATTTCAACTCTAACTCTACCTTTGTTCATCCATAAGCAGCGTAAACAGCAATCTGCAAATTTTTTACTTCTATTCCTTGGTTCCTTTGTAGTTAACTTATTTTGCAACTCATTAATAACATGAACAATCTTTTGCTCCATCTTAGAATCATACCATTGGAAATACTCACATCTCTTCAGCTGCAATTTTTACCAATATTTATTCAGTATTGCCAAAAAAATATTTACAGAATTTTTTTTTCAATTTTTAATAAACAATTTAGAATTTACTTTAATATATCTACAGCTGTGGAATCTTGTTCCTCAATTTTCAGGGCTTCACGACACTCATCTTGGAGTTTTGAGCCAACAAAAATAAAATTTTAGTGAATCATTGTAATCATATTTCGGCAAACTAAAACTCCGTTGAGGATTATGTGCATATAAGACCTATCAACTCGAGAGGGAGGCTATGGAAGGATGACTTCAGTATTTGGGTTTTAGGTTTCAAAAAGATTACTTTAATTAGGATTTTAAAAGGTATAATTTTTCAATTTAAGTTACCTTTGTAATAGAATACTAGTCTTTTTCTTTATTTTTTCTAAATCTGTTGGCTGTGTTAACTACATGCATATGATTTCTTATAAATCAAGCTAAATTGATCCATTTGGTATTAGTTTAGGCGTTTTTTGGTTCAAAATGTTAAAATTATGACCTTTTTTTTTTCCAAGGTTACAAGTTGAAGACTTAGATTGAGATTTATTCTATAAAAAATCTAAGCAATTTTATCACTAATTAATAAAATGGCCCTAGGATTTATTACTTATTGTTTATTATTGATTATATTACTAAACTCGGTTTGTGGCCCGCCTTTAACCATAAGGCAAGAGCAGGTCTTTTAATTATTTTTTTTTTGCAATATATTATGGATGAATGGTGGATGTGATGATTAACTTATGAATGAATGCAATGAATGAATTTATTTGGAACGATTAATTAATTTTCCACATAGGAACTCGGTTCGGTTTATTCGGGTTGGGCTTAGTTAAATGATTGGCTTTTTCTAAAATAAAATCAATTAGAAATCGTAGGTTAAAAAGAGGCCGGTTTTCAGGGCGTCGGTTTCCAACGGACCGACGTACCCAATTCCCTTACCCAGAACCTCTTTGGTTTGCCTAACCAGTTTTTCTAAATAATTTGGCCTTAAATAAAAATTGGGTTTAAAATGGAGTCATTTAATAAAATTAAAATTGGAAACGGTCCCGAGATTTAGGGTAAATAAATAACTTTTTTGAGTAGAATTTATCGAATATCAATTCCTTTTTGTTATTTAGAATTTGTTGGCTCGTTATTGACTCAAAGTTTTGGACTGTGACGGAAGTTCGTTCAATCTATTAGCTGTATTCTGTTGCTTGTCACTTAAAAAGATGAGGAACCTGTCACTTTAACTTCACCATCAATTTATCTTTCTATTGGCTTAAGTAATCGGTGGGTAAAATATAAATTGACACATTAATTCTAAAATATAATTTAATTTATGCATTAATCTTGTAATTATTTCTATTATAATCACAATCAGATAATTTTTACTAGCTTAATTATAAAAATAATAATAATAATAAAGTTTTGTCAATAAATTTGTAACTATCTTTCAGGTCTTGTGGTACAGCACAAGCGCGAGACTGTGTTAATAGAGTGAGCCCAAAATTGTAAGACCCAGCCTAAGGAGGGCAGCCCATCAGAGCTAGTTGTTATTTCTCGATATTCTTTTTCCTTAATTTTAATAATGGTGAAAATAAATATCTTCTAGTAATTGTGACTCTATATTTTAAATCCTTCAATTCTAAATAAAAATTTTCAAGAAATTCAGTTTATTTTGATGGCTTAATCCTCTATTGGTTTTCTCTCTTTAATTTTATATATTAATTAAATTCAGTAAAAAATATATTAATTTTATAAAAATTTGGATTTCAACTTGTGTGGTCTAATTGGTTTTGACTTTTCATTGATTTGTAAAAAATTTTTATGTGAGATGAATACTGACATATTTCAATTATTTTTAAAACTATATAATATTTCTTTAATTTAAAAGTATTTTTTCAAAATATAATTCATTAATAATAATATCAAGAATTACAAATAAGCTTACATAGAACTTTATTATTAGTTCGCTGATCTTTTAACGAAACAGATGAATTTCTATCATTTCGAGTGAAACTAAAATTAAAAAATATATAATATTATATTTTTTCACTTGAAGTTAATTTTGACAAAAGATATAAATCTTCGTAAAAACAACTAGTCCTTTCATTGATTTAGATGTCAACATAATAACTCCTCTTGATTTTCTATAATCAGATTATTTTTTTAATAATTTGCAACATATGACAAATACGGATGAGTTTTCGTCGCTATGCGTCAATAGCATCAATGGAGGAATATGTCGTATTATCAAGCTCCATTGATCGAAGATTACACTGCAAAATCAATATCTAAAGTTTTCAACTAAATAAAATCAAATATTATAGTTTTGTTTAGTACTAAACCCTCACAAAAAATGACTAAAAAACTCTAAATACAGAAACAATTAATAATAACAAAATAAAAAAGATAAATCTATTATAGAAAAATAAATCTAAAGTGAACGGAAAAAAATAATAGAAATTAAGAGATAGGAGTTGATGCTGATAAACAGCGATAGTCTAAAATTAAAATAAAAATTTAGAAAAAAAGAGAGAAATAAAATTATGGTTTAAAAAACTACTGAGAAAAGAAACAGAGCGCTGGCTTTCAGCGTTTTAGTCAGCGAGACCAATTCTTTAGTTTAAAAGTATATGAAACTTATTTACGCTTTATTTTTTATATTAAATAAATTCATTATATTTTAAAATTATTTTTGCAGAGCTCTTAATTGGAAACAATGAAAGCACCACGTGGACTAATATTTGTCATCAAGTACAGAAATGATTATCCTATGAGAAGTTAGATCACTCTCTTTATCCATTACTCACAAAACAGAACAGCTAGCACTTGCAATGGCTCTTCTCAACGTCTCTTTCTGCACTGAAATTCCACAGAAAACCCCTCTTTGCTTTTCTCCTATCAAATCCCACTTCCCAATTCCTCATTTCCTTCCTCTCCCTCGCTCTTCTCTCAAATCCCAAGTAATGCTACCCACCAATGTCTGTTTTCATTTATCACTATCTCTGTCCAAATTCGCTCATGTCATTTCCATCTTTCTAACAGGTGGTTATAAGCAAGCAATTAGTTGAAGGTTTGGCTAAAACAAGCTTGCTTGCTGCTCTCTCTGCTTCTCTTTTCTTAGTTGATCCCGCTCTTGCATTTAAGGTAGAGAATTGAAGTTCTCTTGAATCTTTAGTTTATTTTTGTGTGATTTTCCTCTGTATTTTTTTCTGAGAACTGTTGAAAAAGAAAATTTGAACTTCTGCCTTTTACTTTCGTTGCATAATTAATTAGCTGTTTGAGTTTGCAATGTGGGTTTTTTTTGGAAAGGGAGGAGGGCCGTATGGCTCTGAAGTGACGAGGGGCCAAGATCTCACTGGCAAGGATTTTAGTGGCAAGACTTTAATTAAACAGGATTTTAAGACGGTATGTGTCAATTGGAATCTGTTTTTCGTTATGTTACGGTGTCATTGAGTCTGATTTTTTATTTCAGTCTATACTAAGACAAGCCAATTTCAAAGGGGCAAAGTTGTTGGGAGCTAGTTTCTTTGATGCTGATTTAACAGGTTTTTGGACCTTCCCCTTATCCTTCTATTTTAGGAATGTATGGTTGGGAGTAGTTTTTTTTATATATTTCTAATGACATTGAAATGAGAGGTTTTGCTATACTAGGATGGTAGCAGTGCGGATACCCGCAAATTTTAAACTATCTGAGTCTGTATCTGTTTAAAATTATACTAATCATATTTGTTAAAAATCTATTTAAATATTTAATTATTTTATTATTCATATCCGTTTAAATCGGATGGGTTACTTGCAAAATTTTAATCATCCGAACCCCAATCCGTTTAAACATCATTTAAATTAATATTTTTGAAATTAATATTTTTTGTTATTATTTTAAAGATTAATAAGTATTTATTTATGCATCAAATTAGTTACAACTTATTAATGGCCAAAAATATAAATTACTATGGATGAAAAAAATAAATTAAAATACATTAACATCACAACATCAAAATTAAGACTTTTCATGTTACTTTTCCTATAAATGCTTGATAGAACCAAAATAAAGATTTAAATTCATATTTTAAAGGATAGTATTTGCAATATAAAGATACATAGGTAAATTATAAATAAATTTAGGAATAAAAATATTAAGTCATGGGAATTTATGTAATTGATATATAAAGCTCAAATATTATTTAGTTTTTTAATGGATTCAATCACTATTAGGTATATATTTTTATTGAAAAGTTAAAATAGAAAATTGATTTATTATAATATATTGATAAATTGTATTACTTAGTATTAAAAGCAAAATATATTCTTTGAGAAATCAATTTAAAAAAATACCATCCTAAAAAAATAAAATAAGAAATTATAATTAATAAAAATTCACGCATTCTGGCTAATTAATATGTAAGTATAGGGTTATATCGTTTAAGTTAATAAATATACTAATATAGTTTAGTAGTAAATATTATTCTCTTGTTTAAAAAGATCAAAGGTTCAAATTTCTAAACCAACATTTATATAATAAATATATTATTATTATTATTATGGATAATCAGATAGGGTGTCCACGGGTAATGGATATCCATTGACTGAAACTTCCATCCCTATGCTATACCCATATAGAGCAGTGTACATAAAGTTTAGTTCTTTGATTTTGGATGTTGCATGTGCAAGTAATGAAATGTAAACAGCTTACTAAACAAAAAGCATAAGAGTTTACTTGTAGCGATACCCTGGTTTTTGGAATAGAGAAAGAAGCTTGAAGTGGTCACTTTTCAAGCACATTTATTTCACTTCTGAAGCGACAAAAATCAAGCTATGTAACTGGTTTGGCTTGTTAATCCCTTACTTTGGTGTCTTTAAGCTAGGCAGGAGGCTGCATTTGGGGGAAAAAGGTTTGAGTTGTGAGGCCAAATGGCCGAATCTTTTGTTAGCGAACTGCCAAATTAATTTGATTTACTCGAAAAAAGTTGCTATTGTCTGGTGTGGGATGGTGCTTCTGATGCAGCTCCTTGGGCCAATATTCTTGATGTGTTTTCCGGAACTCAAATTCCTACCCGAGTTCATTTATGATACATATCATTTATAATGTGAATCTGTATCATTACTGAATGCCACTATTTTATTTTTATAGAAGTAATTGAATTGGGTTCTTTTACATGCAGTGTTCTTAAATGAAGAGCTAAGATTTAAGAAAACTTCTTCATTACATTTACGTTAGAATCATTACCGGAATAACTGTTAGAGCAACAGAGTCATAGAGGTGATGGAGGGGCAAGAGGTTGACATACACTTTTTCTAGTTAGAATGGTAGCAAATTAAGGCAGTTGAGCATGATTTTACCCCTGACCTTAATATATATAATGTCAGTGGGATACGAGTGATAGCGATTGCTTTGAAGCAGTTATGCTTCTTGTAAGTTCTTGTTAAAATTGTTGCTTTCTGAGATATTACAACTTTTAGCTGATGGTTTTCGTGTTATATCAGTTGGTTAATGCCTTTCCTTCTCTTCCCCTTCTGCTATTTTGGGGTAATACAGGGGCTGATCTTTCAGATGCTGACCTTAGAGGTGCAGATTTTTCATTGGCAAATTTGACAAAGGTGATCTTTTTATATTGCTCCCTAACACGGATTACCAATATTAGGATTGAATGTAGGACAATAAACTAAAGAAAAAGAGCTAATTCGCAGTTATCATTTCACTTGACCGGCGTCTTAGAGATTGAATGCTTTTAGCATCTTGTTGCATGTGACCTCAGATACGAGTGTACTATATTTTTAGCATGCATATGTTATTTATTACATCTGCAAATATTAATGTAATTGTTGCCTTAAAATATGGTTTAGTGCAGCTTAGACAATTGTTATCTTGTAGTCTGAACCACTTCTAAATCTAGTATCTAATGGTAGTTGCCATGGTGTCCTAACGCATGAATTTACCTCTTTCTGCAGGCAAATTTGAGTAATGCTAATATGGAAGGTGCACTTGCTACTGGAAACACATCTTTTAAGGGTTCAAAGATAACTGGAGCAGGTACGCATACGAGTTACTTTAGGGTTTTAAACACCAAGAATTTCTATCAGCTGGAGTGGTAATGCAATTACTTGTTCTTGTATTCTTTGATTTTTTTCCCCCATTTTGGTTGCAGAGGTGAGAAGTATTCAGAAATTAGTCATTTTTAACATTGTTTGTTGGTGTTCAAATAAACCCAATCTTAATAACGTTACTTCATAGTTGATCGACATTTTTATCTGATCAGATTTCACAGATGTGCCGTTGCGAGACGATCAAAGAGACTACCTTTGCAAAGTTGCAGATGGGTAAATATCTGTATATATTTGCATATTTTTAACAGGTTGTCCTTTTATTTTTAATATAATTACAAAAACATATCCATTTCTTGTCAGGGTGAATACAACAACTGGAAATGCTACACGTGATACATTGCTTTGCAGCTAATTTTATGTTTTTAGCATTCTTTGTATTGAACCATAAAGAAAATACATCTGCTTTACTACATCTGTAGCAGATGCAATTTTCATCATGTGAGCTGAGGTTTTTAAATTACTATATCTTGTAAGAAAGAAATATATAATCAATACATAGGTTCCATTTCCACCTTTCGATAAAGGAGAATCAGATTTAACCATGCCAAAGAATAGTCAAAAGTAAATGATTCTGCCATATTTATGGCATAAAATATGGCATCAGAACCACTAGACACAGTCATAGCAAATGATTCAACATGTAAGAAGGTCCACAAAGTTTAGAATGCCTCGAAAATCTGCTAATTTTATATATTAATCTAAGTTAATTGTACTAATTCAACTATATTTATCATTACAAAGCAAGTAATACATGCCTTTTCTTTTCACCTTTTTCTTATATATACTATTTTCCTAATCACCAATATGATCAATCACTTTTCTTTCTTTTGGGTGGTTCATATATTCAAGAATAGTCAAAATTATTCCAATTAGGCTTCAAGTGCTGGAAAATTTGTATTTACCCTTTTTTCTGCTTCATCTCAAGTGATTCTACTATACCAATCTGCATCAAGCATTTTGCATGGTCAAATCCCAGAAAAGGGGTTTCAGCTGACCACCAATTTTATTGTTAGGTGCTCTATATATCATAGTTTCTCCCTGGTGGTGCAGAAATGCTGCACTTTCTTGTTGGGTGGGGCTCACACTTTTCCACTATATTTTGTGCAGTCGAGTTGCTCTATCCTATTTTAAGCAGCCCACTAAATAGAGACATTATCTGCAGAATTTCAAACAGAATTTCCGTTATTTCTATCTTTTATTTCCTGCCACTCTTTCTTGATTTGCAACACAAAACAAAATGAACAAAATAAAGGGCTGCAATAATCTGAGGAAGCAAATAGTAGGAAATGAAAAATATAAACCCAACCCGCACCCCCCCAAAAAAAAAAAAAGAGGTAATTCCTCAGCATAAAAATGTAAAAAAGCAAATCCTGTTCTTGATTTCATATGTTTATCCAATGTCCTTATTATCATAAGATGGCTATTTACAATTAAAATGTGAAAGATTGACCTACCTCTTAGCAGTAACAGTTTCCCAAGGCCTGCATTTTCTAATCCTAATCTGCATGCTGCTCTTCTTTATGCTTCCTCCATTACTAAGCTCACAACATTGTCTTCGCCTTGCATGATCCTACATTCATACCAAAATTTTTAGCCCCACTATTCATATGTGAATATAAAAATGGTAATGAAAATTTAAACTATGGCATTAAGTTTAAAACTTTTCCTTCTTTTTAGAACAAAAGCAATATTTTGAATGCTTTTAGAAAAGCAATTTAAGAGCACTGTTTAGCTATCATGAAATTTTTACAACTAAAGTATACGAATTTTATCCTGGAACTTATTATTAATGATCTCTAATCAACATGTCCAATATAATATATTTCTTAATAACAACTCACAAAACAATGTCACAGAAACCTTATTCTGTAGATTTCATATCACTGTATAAGGATTCTCAAGCATATATTCCTGTGAACTAAAATGCCATGCATTGGTTGCAAATTTTCCACAATGGCACACAGATAAACATATAAACAATGAAGAAATAAATTTTAAAGACTTAAGATGGAGAAACATATAGAGACTGACCTTCGTCCAGTATTCTGGGTCTAATTTCAAAGCCGATACAAGGATTCTCTTTAATGACATTGCTTCTGCATAATCTGTTCTATTACATGTCTTCTCTGGCCTGCTGTCAAGCCTCAGATAACTAGTCAGGGACCCACTGTGGCCCACTTCCTCAGCTCGTTCCAGCATAAAAACGACAGGAAGTTCACATGGGTTGGACCTCATGGGTTGGGTATTGAATGTGAATGGTCCATCACTCGAACTCCTCCAAGTTTTGAATGTCTGCAATGGTGTTTGCAAGTCCTTGGCTGGCAATAGCGTAGGGTATATCTGAATGGTGTAGCCCCATGATATTGATACTGACCATTTTCGGTTGTAGTCATGGCAAAAGGATTGTTGAAGGATTCGGGGTGGATCTAACCGGTATGCACGGTTAATGGACTCAAGAGAGTCCATCTGGTTCTGGAATGGAAATAATGAATCCACTTGATCAAGGTGGTGGAGGGATACAAGTGGGGTTACTGGGTGTGCTGCCAGGAGACCATATGCATTCCCTCTAATATCAAACTGTCAAAAGTAAAACACCATAAAAATTTAGCAATAGTCATAAGTAAAATACTTCTTCCACTCATTGCGCTAGTATGGATCCCAAGCTTTAAAATTCAAATTCATTTTGCAAGAAGAAGTGTCATCATGAACCTAATAGCCAATTGCTATAAAGTCCAGTGTTGAAGGTACAAAAAGAAAAAAGAAGAAGAAAAGAAAAGCACATAAAGTTTCAGGAAATATAAATGAAGGCATGATAGAGACCATTAAATTATTTATGTGATTTTGTAACTATAATTAGTTTAATGTGTCTAGCAAATCAAAATAAACAAGAGTAAGACCTAATTGAAAATGAAGTGAATTATTGAGTAAGAATTCTACCTAATCAAATCTTTTTGTTAAAAAAAAAAAAAAATGTTGAAGGTACAAAAAGAAAAGAAGAAGAAAAGAAAAGCAACATAAAGTTCAGGAAATATAAATGAAGGCATGATAGAGACCAATTAAATTATTTATGTGAATTTTTTGTAACTATAATTAGTTTAATGTGGTCTAGCAAATCAAAATAAACAAGAGTAAGACCCTAATTGAAAATGAAGTGATAGTTATTGAGTAAGAATTCTACTAATCAAATCTTTTGTTAAAAAAAAAAAAAAAAAATGAAAACCTTTGCCAAAGTTTTAATATAAAACAAACTTCTAAGATTGAAACAAACTTCTAAGATGAGAATCAATAGTAATTGTAAATAATTCATTTCAACTAACACATCAAACTACACAAATTTCAAACATTAACAGAAAACATAGACTCATCAATGGACCCACAATTGTATGTAAAGACCATATTGGCTATGTGTCCATATCAAGGCACACTCATGTGAAGAAATCTTAAAAAGAAGTACTTTTTGTCATACTCTAATGGAGAGCTGCTAATTATTTTTTACTCTTTCCCTATTATAGAATGAAAAGAAGCAATGGATCCAAATGCTACGTGGCTACCATAGATTTAACAAGGAATAATGTTATTGGGTGAAGCACTCAAAGAAACTTTACTTTAGTTGTCAAGAGCATGGGAACCATCTTTTACTAAAAGTTTGTATAGTAAAGCAGTACTAAGGAAAAAAGGACATAGCAGACTTTAATTTTCCAGACCCACAGAGAGGCCAACTTATATATTTCCTGTGGTGCAAAAGACAAGACACATGGTCACAAAAGTTAAATGTATGTATGTGTGTAGGTACATTATCTTCCCTTTAAAAAACAAATAAGCTAATATAGGAATAAGCTAATATAGGGTAGTCTTTATTCAGGATCTTATTCCAAGGATGACTGGAAAAAGAGAGACTGTTAATTAAGTGCATCTCCACTTGCATTTCTCTTTCTTCAACATTTATATTGTACTTACAAGTTAATTTCATTTTGATTTTCATTTAATTGTAAGAAGAGAATTTTATGTCACTGAGCTTCATAAATTTGAAAGAAGGCAGTTTAATTTTTAACTACGGCCTAAGACGGATAAAAAAATTTTAAAACTATTTCTACATCTACTGACATCGACTCATCTGAATCTTTAAGAATGAGAACAGTGATTTTAAGCTATTTTGTTCACTAAGAGTCATCAGATATTATAGTATTACATATATAAATGCTAAGAAATTGACAATAGTAAGATCTAAATCTAACATTCCCCTTATAATTTCATATTTATCATAGAACAAGATATTACTTCCACATTATAATAGGTTTATCAATACACAAATAGAAGTGCTTTAGTTATATGAACATCAAAATTTAAAATAAAGATTATTTTTGATGGAAAATAAAAAATTGCATAAACAGTTTCAACAAAAAAATTCACCACTTTGATTAATTTTATTGCATCTTGAAATACATAGTGCACAGCTTTTAAGTGCTGCAGATTTTTTTAAGTGAACTTCTTTATTAAGAGCAGTCCTGCAATAAGAGCAGTCCTGCAAAAATTAATTAAGTGTTAAACTAACTTAAAGAAATGATTTTTAAGAATCCAATAATATTAAATATAATCCCGACATTCTGTCAATTTTTATCTTTCTTAATTATTCAGAATCCAATGATATTAAATTTTATAATTTCCTAAATAAGGAAATTTATTAATTTTCTAAATTTTTTGTCCTTACCAAATAGTGTAACGTTACACGTGGCCACGATCCACATAACCGTCAAACACGGTCAGGTGAGAGGCAAACTCTGTTGACAAATCTATCTGCCACGTGTAAAAAAGAAAACTCCGAACAAAGCCAACTGTATAAATAACCTACACACATACCTGGTGGAACCCGCGCTCTAAAGTAAGCGGCACGCCGATTTCACTTATACACGCCCAGATCCTTTGATCAGAACCGTAGAAATAATAGTACCGATCAAGACAACCGTCTAATATGTCCGTCTAATATGTTGACTAATTTCTCCGCCAGTGGATAACTGATCGCAAATCCTCCACCGCCAAAAGCCATATCGTACGCGTGCATCAAATCTTGCTCTACACTCTCAGAATTCCCTCCGATATACCACATCCGATTATGATCATATTTCGCTAACACCGAAACTAAGTTATCAGTGAAATACACTGTACCATCATCTCCCATCACGAACCACCTCACATTTGGCAGCCTCGATTTAAAGCTATCGCTTATTATTCTAGCGATCCTGACCGCTGATCTCGAGCTGGAGAATCTGAACCGGGTCCAGTCTGGAGACGAAAGCCTGTACGGTGGTTCCGATATTTCGGATTTTCTGTTGTTCTTGTTTTTCGGCATTTTGTCTAGCCAAACGAAGCCTCGCGTTTTCTTTGTGTCCCACCAGAGAGAGCTGTATCGGACGCGATCGTTCCATGTGGCTGCTGATCCGCCTATTCCCATAAGGATGTGGGCGATGTTAGTGGGTCCGGTATCGAGTCTGGTTTCGGGTTGTGGGTTGTTCCGTTTTGGAGTGGGGAAACGGAGCGCAAGGGGTTTTGGGGAGAAGAAGGCAGTATAGAGGGCGAGAGAGATTGAGGATATGAGACAGAATTGGAGATGTGGGGGATGAAATGGGGCTCAAGAACAGTTAAAATCTCGCACGTTTTATCGGGGAGAGAGATTAGCTTCAGCTTTTTAATCAGGTTGTAACTTGGGTGCAAACGAGTCTGACTCGTTTCCTTCATTTGTCCAAAAATTTTGTTCTTAATTGATGAAGCAACCCAACGCAGAAAAACAAATTTCAGTACCTCTGCAAAATTCTTAATTACGAATTCAATTACACCCAGACTGGTTGAAATGTAAAATTCTGAAACTATGAGCGGTCACCGGAAAAAGAGCATTCATTTAAGTTCAGGAGCTCAAAAAATAGAGAACACCTGAAAAGCTCTATTTTTTTTAAAGTACCCATTATTGCAGGAAATCTTCTCAGGAGCCCAAACTCAGAGGAAGGCCTAAGGTGGCGAAGATGATCAACCCATAAAAAATTTGTAGAATTTGAATTGGTGAAGCTTACCAGGAAATATTCAAATTGAAACCCAAATAGTAATTTTCTCTCTCGGCGATAAATTCTGTTTCCTGTATATTAAGAAAAAAAGCTGTTCTAACTCTGTGGGTTGTTTCTCAGCTTTTTCGGTTGAAACAAGGAGAGAGACGGATAGAGACTCGAGAGAGAATTTTTTGTGAGCTAAAAAACAATGGTAAAAGAATGAAAAGAGCTTAATGATGACGATGAGTTACAAATGAAGAGAAATAAGAATTTATAGGTGGAGGTTCAACCATGTGGATTGTGGCCTGAACTTCCATATAATTGGAGATGTGGGGGATGAAATGGGACTCGGTACCATTGTTGGGTCATTCTCATTTTCCCTAATAAATGTTCCAGCTTTTGCCTTTTTCTTATCTCCCATTTCCAGGGACATACATTAATTTCAAATAATAACTGAAAATATGTATATAATGAACAATCATACATATATAATGAACAATCATACAAAATATATCTTACATTTAGAATAAGCATCGCACATGTTTATATTTTTTTTTGCCATTCATAAAACTAAAATTTTAAAATTATTTAATCATGTGATAAATCAACTATGATAATGAGGTTATTTAGTGTCTATTTAGTTCCATGATTATAGTTAAGACGATCGTTTTTTTAGGAGTCAAATAAAATTTTTTAAAATTTTAGAGGGGTTAAATATAGTTTTTTATATTTTTAAGGATCAAAATATAATTTTGTTTAAATACCACGCACCTTAGGTCCGTCCTAAATACCACGCACCTTAGGTCCGTCCTTATGGAACTCCGCCTTCGATTATAGTCAACATTGGTAGCTACTAATTAGTGGCTATCTGTCAAAAGGCTCATGCATTAATTATAATTATAAATTTCAATTTTTAATGTTTTTAAGTTTTTTTTTTTTTTATAATATGTTTTTAAGTTAAATACTCCTTAATGTTAACTCTAATTTTTGAATTATACAACCTTATTAACTTACCCTTTGTTTGGATGAGAGTGTTTTTTTGAAGGAGGAAAATGACTATGTAAATTATTTAGTTAAAGGTATTTTCCCTTATTTAGAAAAGAGGAGGAAAATATAATTTCACTTATTTTTCACTCAGATCCACATGTTTTAAATTTTTTCAATTTGAAGAGAAAATAATAGAGAAAAATGAAAATCTCACTTATTTTTATTAAATTATCGAAAAACCTCAAATCAATTAACTAACTTTAAATCTTCTTAAATGCCCTACTATTTAAATGAGAATAAAATTAGCAATTTTTAATATAAATATTTTTTTTCTAAAACTTTCTCATTTCCAAGCAAAAGAAAATAAATTTATTGTCTTTCCTTTATTCTATCCAAACATGGAATAGAAAATAACCATTGAAATAAAATTGATAATCTATCGTTATTTTCCTTCTTTCAATATTTTCTTTCATCTCGTTTGTAAACAAAGATTAGAGTTAAAACCCTAAACTCTAATTGTTTATCCCTCATTCAAACATACTTTTATATTGTTGAAAACCTATGTTTAAAGAAATATTTATCAATATTAATTATCTTTCTATATAAAAATAAATAAAATTCCACTAATATATACCATAGCTTTGGTGTGGATGATTCAACTATTAATTCAATTAATTTAACAGATATGATCTTAAAAGTCATAATTTTTTTGATCTTTTGTAGTCATAATTTTTTTGATCTTTTGTGTTTAGAGTTATTGTAGAGATGCTTAATTTGTATTTAGATGATTGAATAATTAATGATTTAATTAATTAACAATGTAGAAAGATTTATGATAAAAAATGGTTTTTTAAATTGTAACTAATGAAATTACTAAGATAATTAAGGTATAAAATGAAATTTATTGCAATTAAAGAATTGATAAATTGAAATTGGAAGTGATTAATTACCTATTATTTGGTTTGATAATTTAAATTATATTCTAGAGAATAAAAGAATCATTTGCTACTACTATTGTATTTTTTTTAAAAAAAATATAATTCATTAATAATAATATTAAGTATTATAAATTCTCATATGGATCCATATGAATAAAAATAATCATATTTATGATATCATATTTATGATATCATTAATTTTATTTTAATTTAATTCCAATTCTATGAATATTTAAATAATAAATAATTAATATTAAAATCAAACTCAACAACAAATTAAAAGATAATCAATTAAAAATATAAAATAAAACCCAAAATCAAATGTAAAATCAAGCCAGCTTATAGGATTGGATTTGGCAAACCAGACTTTTATTTTTGCATGAATATAATCTTTATCCAACTTTTTTAACTATTTTTTTAACTAAAATTTTTTAGTAATGGACAAAATAATGCTATCATTTTGGCCCCATCACCATGCAAATTACAAACAATATGAAGATAAAAAGTATTTTCGATTCCTTCTAGTGGCAGGAAAATTATAGAAAATGCAATATCAATTTCCAAAATTTGTACTATTCTTTGTTGTTGAATATAGAAATCTTGAAAGGTTATGGATTTCTGATCACTGATTGATCGACAAAGGTCTAAGTCCATGCCGACAAATCTGTTTGGTTCTTGGAAAATAAATTAGGGCACCTAACTCTGTCCCTTTGTAATTTTGGTATGAGACAAGCAATCCCAACAACTTACATCTCATGGACCCTTAGAGAAATTCACAATTCATAGGTCTGATCACTGATTGATCGACAAAGGTCTAAGTCCATGCCGACAAATCTGTTTGGTTCTTGGAAAATAAATTAGGGCACCTAACTCTGTCCCTTTGTAATTTTGGTATGAGACAAGCAATCCCAACAACTTACATCTCATGGACCCTTAGAGAAATTCACAATTCATAGGGATGGGAGACAGAAACCAGTTTAGTGAAAGGCCAACAATTGTTTATTTACTGTGTGTTTTCTTTCCACATATTATAAGAATTTGTAAAATATTTGAATTTTACTTCAATTTACATTTTAAATATTATAAAGTAATATTTGTATAAAGTCATTTTTATCATAGTGAAAATTGAAAAAGAAAAGGTAAACAAACCAAATCAATGGTTAAGAAGTGAATCTCATATTGAAAAATTAAAGGACTTATAATTAAACTCACTTATTTTTGAGCTCGTATATTTCACATTGTTTAATTTTTTTTGTTTTGAAAGATAAAATGGAAATTTAAATTAGACTCTTATAACTTAAAAATCAAATCGAGAGGGACATGACCCACTCTCGTAAATCAAATATATGCCTGAGTTGCAAGCAAATGTGTAACACAATCCGATGATTGTCTAACACACTTCAGCTAACACATCAGATGGAACATTCAAAAAGTTATTCAAGATGACATTACAATCACTGAAAATCACATTGTTTAAATTAAACATGCTTTTATTAGCAGTTTAAGAGATGATAAAATGCAGAGGAATTGGTGAAACCAAATATAAAAATATGAGGCTTTGTAGGGTGGGCATGACCCAAAATGAATTTAGCAAATCAGAAGGAAGAACAATTGCAATTAAGTTGTTAAAAATTGCAATTCAGTTGCCCTCATTAAAAATTGCAATTCAGTTGCCCTCATTTGTTTTGGATTTCACTTGCTAAAGGCCTAGTTCCATGAAAGTACTTGTTGAGGAAGAAGAACAATCCTTAATTGAAGCAAAGAGAAGAAAGAAAGAAGAAAGGCTTTGAAAAAAAAAAAAAAAAGAAGAAAAGATATCTAACAATCTTTTGTGTTTAATCCTTATTTTCGCTGATTGCTCAGGTTTAGACTTAATTGATTTGGATTAAAGTATGATTATATTCAGTGACGGAAGGACGAAATATCAGGGGTGACCCCTCAGTAATTTTTTTTTTTAATAATTCAACTCTAAATTTCTAAAAATTTTCAATTTTATTCCTTAAAATATAAT